TGAAACATTAACTTTCCAGGTTTCGTTTCCTAAGAATTTTATGACATAGTCATCTTTAACTGAGATTTCATTGAAAAGATTTTTAATTTCCGAAAAATCTTTAATACCGATAACCTTAATAGGTGGCGGAGGCAATATTTTAGGAGTCTTATCGCTATTCTTGGAATTAGGTAACTTATCACTAGACTTATCCTTAATATCTGAAGCGCCGTTTTCGTTGGCAGAGTTATCTTTGTCTCCAGATTGGATCCTTCTGCGTTTGCGTCTTTGAGTCCTGATCTGTTGACGTTTAGCTCTGAACTCAGGGTCAGAATTTTCATCTTCGGTGATTGAGTCATTATCTGCTTGAGATAATTCCTGCACTTCCATGTCATCATTTAGAGAAGCGAATTTATTCTCATTAAGAATTGAAGAGTCATCTTTGGATGCCTGGTTGGATTTAGCAGCATTTCCTTTGGAGGTTGTGAATTGCGTTAACTTTGTTTGTGTTGAATCCATAGTGCTCGTTTTACGGAGTTGGGATTGAACTTTAGAAAGATCTTTTACAGATCTGGAAGTAAAAGAGCTAGATTTATCTAGGCTAGAGGAGCGAGAGCCTTTGGAATTTTTGAGTTCATTAATTTGAGTTTGTAAATTAAATATTACCGTTTCTTGTTGTTGTTCTTTAACACTCCACTTAGCAAGCAGAACATCGAGTTTGCTGGATAACGCACTGTTTTTATCGGCAAGTTCTTTAACCACTTTTTGAGAGTTGGTAAGATAAAATTTCAAATTATCGTCTACCCGTTCATCGTTAATTATCGGTGTAATGTTCGCGCCGAGGATTTTAGATATTAGTGTCTCATCACTAGGCTCTTTTGAAGAGTCTTTATTAACAATTTCACCACCTACCCCCGCCATTGCAGGGGTAGTAAAGGAGAAAAAACAAAAGTTTAAACTATATTTTTAGGTTAGTTTTAACTCCGAATTGAAAAAGACCCGAGATGCCATCGAGGCAAAGCAGTCACAAAAAGGGGAGATTATCAAAAATGATAGCGAGGAGCGTTGAACTGAGGGAGAACCGCACAGCTTGGCTTATCAGACAGCACTCTGGACGTAACCAGTGTTGCACCAAACAGCGTATCTCTTTGAGGGACTACTGGGCTCATACGAGTTTTTCCCTCTGTATTGAGATTTTCAGCTTTATGCTGAACTTTTAACGAACGTTGGCAAAAAAAAAAAAAACTCCAACATACTATAATTTTTGACTCTAATTGAAACTTTGGGAACTTTTTGGCTTTGTTTTCTCCGCGAAACGGTGTGGACCCAGCACCATTTCACCCTCTCGTTTCATTTAATTCGAGACATTTTTTAGTGTTCTTTCTCGTTTCTAGACATCCTATCCTCAAACCGGTGTTATAAATGGGCTCATTTCTTGAGCGAAGCGGCAATGAGGCTACCGGAATTCGCATGACCTGCATTCGTGCCTCCCACCACTCGGCTCTTTTTGAGTCCCGGCGAACCGTTTAAGACCTGAAACATCTCTTTTTCATTTATTTATCGATTCCGCCCTGTCAACGTTTTCCTTCTCGCTTATTTATTTACGTTGCGGTCTTGGGTTTGCATTAATTCCTTGGAAGGAGACGTCTAGTTCCAGGACTCTAACAACCGGAGGGGGATGGCTCAAGCTCCTCGCTCCAAGGGATGCGCTGTGCCCGAGGACTACTTTTCCAATACTTTAAAAGGAAAAAAATATCCGCTGTCATTGCTTCGCATTTGCTGCATCCGTGAAAAGAGACCAAAGTTTTTTCTAGCGGTGAGGGTCTTCGCGTTTGCGGTTTGCGGAACGAGCGGGTGGGAGGGTTGGAATTTCAGGGGAAGCACAAGCCACCTTTTTCAAACGATAGTGAACGTTCTAATCTCCTGTTTCCGATGGTGATTTCTCGTTCGCCAAGAAATAAAGTCTTTCGAAATCTTAAAATCGTGCTGACTTGATTTCGACGGAATCTACGATCCGGAGAATTTTTCTTCAGGTGTATGCAGATTTTTTCGTCGAAAAGTATAACGATGGAATTGTATCAAGAGGCAGAGCTTAATGGCAACTTTTCTAGATTGACTATGATGGCAAGTAACGAACTAGTGATATCAATAAATAACAAATTAATATAATTCGGTCAATTTATTTGCAATGATTGATGAATAAAATAATTTCGCAATAATTACATTTCCATGCAGGAACAGGAAATAGTGACAATTGATGTACTACAAATTAACGTTGAATTTTCCAGTAGAATATGTACAAAAAATTAAAAAATACTAATTATTTTTTATATACTAATAATGACGAAATTCCTCCCGGAACCCCTCTAGTTTTTGTCTACTTGTCTCTTTGTAAACCAAGTTATTTCATTTACTGACAAAGTAATAGACTGCGTTTAGCAGGACGGAACCAAGCCACATCAGCTAATGCCGAATCATTCGGGCTGTTTAATTTTTCACATGAAAACAGTTGTGCGGATTTTTGTGCAAATTTTAATCAATTATCTATATGGTACGAAGCAGTCTATTTAAAATTGTCAAAGGAATCCGTAAAAACGACTTCTTGTAAAACATTAAATCGCCCAGTTAAATTTGGCAATAGCTGATGCTGCTTGGTTCCTTTCTGCTAAACGCGGTCCAAATAACGGCTACCACATTTACTTATTCAACCGTACTGAAAGAACGAGAAACATTTACAAGATTGAATGAGCTGAATTTCAGTTTAGCTCCTTTTATTTCGTGTTGAAGACCATGCAGTGCAGAAAACAAAAATAACACAGGGACAAGATATTCACTGTTTTGCGGTCCCAAAATAACAAGAATGAGATTCTCTCGCACCTGCATTTCGCATTCTATGCAGAGTGCAGGAGGTAACACGACGATTTTGTAATAAATTCCCGAAAGCTTTTTTCTCTCGTCCTCCGCCGGAGTTTTATGAAAATTCCACGGAATCCTAGCTCCACACGCCCCTTTGTACCCGCGTCGAAACTTTTTGAATATTTATGACTTCAGACAGCGCCCCGATCGGTGTGGGAATCTTATCCCTTTTTCAGGTACCTCCGACAAAGTTCCCAACTTTCTGTTCATCCGCGCATAACAGTTGTCAAGTCACACATTCTCAAGCGACGCGTCGCGTCGCATTACGTCGCGTAGGATTTTGTGAGTCGCAAGTTTCCTGAAAACAAATTGCCATTGAATAGAGGCTCCTTCTGAAAGCAATCCAAGTCCACTCTCTGAGAAAGTTGGAAATGCCTTAGTATCTTCTTTCTCGGTTAAATTTTGAAATTTTGAGCCGAGACTGAGCGTTGTGCATATTTGGAAAACTCGTATTTTTAGTGAGAGGTCAAAATGTCCAAAAGTATGTGTCCAGAGTAAAAAAAAGGCCATGAGTGAAAAACGTCCAAGTATTTGGAACGTTCAACAGCGGTCAAATGGCCAACCATGTACAACCTGTTAAAAACGGAAATAAATGCATTTATTTTGTACTTCACTCATTAGAGCTCGAATTTTTTCATTTTAATGGCCTTGTTTTGCCCGCAAAATAGTGTGGACCCAGCACTACTTTACTGCCTTCTTAACTATAGAGCGGGCTACTTTTCTTACTGATTTTTTCTCGTAAAAGCACTTAAGTGACCTACTACTATTTCTCGAGTACATCTATGTTTTTTGGATACTTACGACTCGAGAGGGTTATTTTTCGTCCCGCGAGAGAAGCGAGTAGCCTCAATTTCGTCACACTCAAAAGATGAGAGGTATGCGATTTCATCCATAAATCTCATCGAATTTGCGCTTTTAGTTAGCCTTCGATCAACTCGACGACGCGATGCGACGAAACGCGCATCACCATGAATGTCAAGAGGAAAACGCGCCTTCAACAAGTTGAATGCGCCCCGCATATCCATCGAGGATGAATAGTTGTATCACTCAGGCGTTGCTGATACAGACACAACATCGGTTGTCCATAGTCGTACCGTGTCGCGTAGGTTGCAAATCTATATCACCGGAAGTATATGCTATAAGTCAATGGCACGTACGAATAAAAATCACAACAGATATTTAATCATTATTGCGCAACTTGTTTAATGAAATGAAATGAAATAAAATGAAAGATTGTCATAACCCCTAACTAATACTACCTCATTTCATCCATCAAAGACAATTTTCAATCCGTATAAGGTTACGTGTTTTCTTTGATAGCGCATGCAGAGAGGCAAACCAACGCTCAATCGCGGATTTAAATATATGTATTTCGATGGCTATACTGCCGTGCCGAGGAAAAACGCCGTATGAAAAATCGAGAGTGGCTAAATTTCCTCCGATAACATTTTTATTTTTGAGGAAAGCTATGGATATTTTTCCTGGAAATTTTCAGGAACTTTAAGGGACATTGCAAACATAATCATCCGAAAAATTGGGAGAAATTGTTTTGCAAATTTCCCCAAAAAATTGTGATTTATTACAGAAATTTGGCAACGCCTCGAGGCTCATACGGCGTTCTTCCTTAGCATGGCAGTAAAGTGCAAGACCACGTATCTCCGTTTGCGACGTTGCGAACTTTCAGGCGTACTTTATTTTTCCCTCGAAAAACTAGTCAACGTAATTTCTTCAGAACTTCCCTGGTTTTTCCTCTTTGTTAGTAGACTAGTCTGCATTTTCAAGCCACAAGTTGACTTATTCCTCTTCAAAAATTAACTGAGAGCAGAATATATATCGGCAAATAGGCCGATTAGCGGAACTACGTTTTTCGGCTGTAAGATGCAAATTCAGGTTGATTTCAAACCTGACCATCTCTTGAGAAGTCATCCAGAGACCTATTTTGAACGAGAAAATTCCACTTTTGACCCAGAGATGGGGGCAGAGTGGGTCACGGCGCAGTTAGTATTAGTTTAAGGGCCTTCCAGTATTATAGCGTTGCAAATCATAAAACTTTCCTACCCTTAAATTCACACAACTCAATATTTCCTCTTTATTTTTTGTTTCAGATTTGGATTGAAAATTCCACGCGTCACTGGAACATCAGTCGTAACACGGTTGACTCTTATTCCCGACTGCTCTCCGAAATGTTTGCCAGAGTTGATGTGTCCGACCAACCGTGCTCCCTTTCAATCGGATCGCGCGAAGCAGTTTTGACGATTCGACAAGCTCCCTCAACTTGAAAAGTATCGAGCAGAAACTCTTGATATATTTTCGATTCGATTAACTCGTTGCATTTTATGCATTCGCACAGCAAACAGGGTTCTATCTCAGCCTGTAGCTGAAATGTTTCGCTAGGTCCTTAGTCTCGTCCATTTTCCTAAAGCAACCATTCAGTACAAATGGCGGAAATTTCCAAGGGCAAATCTTAACCGATCCAGATTCTAAACTCGTGCGAATAAAACAAAATAGATTAAGAGATGCAAGAATGTTTCACACCGAGGAAGGAAGTGAAGTGATGTTAGTTATGACAGAAAAGACGGCTTGAATCGTGGAAAATAAAACAATTCACCCACGATTCAATTTGTTTTGCTCAAAAATTGCATTTAAATAGCAGTCTTAATATCTAAAGTTTTCTAAAAATTTTTCGTACCTGAATCACCCGTAGTTTAACTTCAATTCGCTCTGACGGTTTCCATAATGTCCGAAACGCATCAGTTCTTTTTCCGAGACACCTGCACTCTTCAAGATATTTTATTTGAATTGGCTGAACGAACGCTTCTCGCGCCCAAACCACCGGAAAATGCTGCACTCTTGGAAAGAAAAACCGAACTTTTAGTGAACGAAGAAGAATCGAGTCTGAAAACTGACAACTGCCCTAGGTCTAAGAACTAATGGATTCTTAACTCTGAAACCGAGGTGAAATTACAATGTGTTCGACTATTCTGTGCAGGAAATCGTCAAATGTTCATAATCGGACGTAAACCGAAGTTTGCAAGATGAAGGCCTCTCCTTCGTGATTATCTTGATTTTTTACGCCGTAAATATCCAAATAATTGAAATCAGAACTAGTTTTGTTTCTATTTATTTATTTTTCAGTTTTAAAAACGCAAATGTACCCTATTCCCCAGTTTACGACCTAGAAGCATAACGCGGCTTTTGTAAATCAACTCCAACGATTGCAGCTTTGGATTTGAAAAAGGAGGAGCCACCCTCTTCGAATCGACGTCAAACCGCGTGACAGATTACTAAGAAATATAAATTTTAAAAAAGAGATGGAGACCGATTCTGCGCTGCAGATTGCGCAGTGTTAAAGGCAAAATGAGAGCGTTCCCAAAACAGGAGACGGGCGTATCCTGAGCACACAGCTGAATTCGCTTTCATTTCAATTGGTGCGGCTGGAAGAGAAGAAGCATGACGTCATCCACCGGCAATTCGTAAGGCGATGCGAGTGCCGACGGTGGCGCCCCAAGCGGAGCCCTGCGGAACATGCCCGGACCTGAGCAACGACACCCAGCGCGCCATGGATAGCTTCCTCTACGCCGGCTCCGTCGAGAACCTCGTGCTGGGCACCGCGGTGAGCCTCAACAAGTACACGGACCTCGACCCGCGGAACTTCTCCATCCTCGCCGACAACGCCCTCTCGCGGTACGTCCAGGAACGCGACGCCGAGCAATGGCGGACGCTCCAGAAGTTCGACTCGGTCTTCGTGTCCAGCCTCTTCTGCGTCAAGATCCTCGTCATGTCGTTCATCATCCTGGCGGCCATCTGCGGGAACCTCCTCGTCATCGTGAGCGTGATGCGGCATCGGAAGCTCCGCGTCATCACCAACTACTTCGTGGTGAGCCTCGCCTTGGCCGACATGCTGGTCGCCATCTGGGCGATGTGCTTCAACATCTCCGTGGAGATCACCGGGCGCTGGTTGTTCGGCTACATCATGTGCGACGTGTGGAACTCCCTGGACGTCTACTTCTCCACGGTCTCGATCCTCCACCTGAGCTGCATCAGCGTGGACCGCTACTACGCCATCGTCCAGCCGCTGGACTACCCGCTGATCATGACCAAGAGGCGGCTCATAGTGATGTTGTTGTTGGTGTGGTGCTCGCCGGCCCTGCTCAGCTTCCTGCCGATCTTCATGGGCTGGTACACGACGCCAGAGAACAACAGCTACCGGCAGGCGCACCCGGATCAGTGCTCCTTCCGCGTCAACAAGCCCTACGCTGTCATCTCTAGTTCCGTCTCCTTCTGGGTGCCCGGAATCATCATGATCTACACCTATTGGCGGATCTACCGGGAAGCAGATCGGCAAGAAAGAATGCTTTACAGGTATGTTTCGTTCCCTTAATCATGTAAATTTGACGTATTTCTGCCAGACGGAACCGGAGAAGTGTGAGAGAGATGGGGTGCGCTAACTCATGGACATGCGACGAGGGCGTTGTGGACGAGGCTCATGAGATAAGGTTCAGTTACACGATCAAATTGAGCCATCAAACTGAAGCTCTGATTGGTGGAAGAAGACCTGAGGTGAAGACGCGACCAAAGAGAGGCCCAATTTGATGGCTTAATTGATCGTGTAACTGAACCTTTAAGGCGAACGTCGCCGAGGTCGCATAGTGGATCGAGTCAATAGGAGAAGTCGGACAAAATTTAGATACTTTACAAGCTTATAACTTTGTTCATACACAATTTTGAGGTTTTAAAAGTTGGTCCATTGGTTCCCTCGTGAAATTTCCTTCAAGAACCACCCCTTAAAGTTTAAAATGAGACGAATAATCAACATAGAAATGTGCAGTTTTAGTCAAAAATATCATGTCCGACCTCTCTGATTAACTCGATCCACTGTGCGTCGCCGCTGACGTCACTGGTGTTTTACAGTTTCTATTTATTCTTAAGGCCCTCAACTAATGAGCATACTCCTTCATTCCCAATGATCTCACGTTCCCTTTTTAATATAAATACTTTCAAATTATGTATAAATTTGTGCAACCCATTATCTCTTCGCGTACTTAACTCTAATCTGTTACGCTATGGATGGTTTCACTTATCTCCGTTAGGAAACTACATCTGACTCAAATCTCTATTTTTTGGTCTAAGTATATTGGCACATCTATCCTCTAGGTTATTTGAATTGCCAGGGGACAAGGCCGATCGGAATCTACTTCTCCTTATTTGCTGGTCAGTTCGGTGAAAATGTGTCGTCTTTACCGGAATTCGAACTCGGGACCAATACTGCCGTGCTAAGAAAGAACGCCGCATGAACATTCGAGAGTTACCAAATTTCCAAAACATGCATTTTCAAAAACATGTATTTTTGACAATATTCATGCATATTTTTCCTTGAAATTTTCAGATATTTTATATTAAATTGCGCACAAAATTGTCTGAAAATGTTGGAAAATAATATATATTCGCAATTTGTCCAGTAAATTCGAGTTTTATCGGAAGAAACTTGGCAACGCCCTAAGGCTCATACGGCGTTCTTCCTTAGCACGGCAGAATAGACTTCGAGTTTTAGTGTAATTATTCAATGGACCACTATATGAGGTACGAATTTCAGCATTCTGATACATGTTTCTTAACCAAAATTTAAAACACGATGTGTGTAAAACACGATGCTTACGAAGAAAATTACCGAAATCAACTCCTTACGAAGATATTTAATGATTCTTGATGCGTGAATTCAAACCACCCGCTCATGAAAACCCAATGCTCTACGTGATTCACATCGCGCGCTAAACGTTATCATGACAGTCTCTGCGATATAAAAATCTGGCAACCTCAATCTTGACGCTTTGGCTCAGTTACAGCAAATTGCTAATAGTTTGAACAACACATGGTGGGAAATGAACATTGCTCGATTGAGAGGCTTGCTGAAACCGTTGTAGTGCGCAATTTGACTCACGTAGAGCTTTGAGTTTCTTGTGAGCGGGCAGTTCAAATTCCTCGTAACCAATGTGAAATAAAATCGTTAATATCTTTGTTAGGAGTTGGTTTCAGTCATTTTCGTTGTGTGAATCGTTTTCTACGTGAAATTCTGGTTAAGAAACATGTATCAGATCGCTTAAATTCGTACCTTGTCTAGTGGTCCATTATAAATCTCCGACACCCTCTCACTCTCTCTTCCGCAATAATGGTGATGTTTGCAAGTCAACAACGCTGTTCTCTTCCTTTTTAAAAATATTGATCTGAGTAAAACAGTCTAATCGGTTGTATCACGTACATTTACATTGAGGAAAAACGGCGTTGCCAAGTTGCGAGTGTCGCCACTCGCCAGTAAGAAAACTCCCCCCTCCGCACGCATCCGTGAAGACAAAATGACAGGGACCGGGGTAAGGATACATCGAGGCGATACATTTTTCATCACCCGCATTTGTAATACAACACGCCTTTCGAGGGTGAATGAATAAAAATACATGAATAAATAAAATAATCTCGCTCAAAAGTGAACGTGCTTTACGGCGAAAAGTTTACTGAAACTGACATCGAATGAAAATTATTATAGGCAAAATTCTCCCGCGTGTTTGAGTTCGCTCCTGAGCAATCATCCGTGTATTTCACAGTAAATATTCACTGCCTTTTTACGCGGAAGTCTGGATAAATTTTACAGGGAGTGGCTTCTATCATATTCTCAAGACAAGTTACACCAATTTTTGGCGATGTACACACAAAATCCGTTTTTACGATAAGCGCCAAGATAACGACTTTAGCCCAAGGAGCCGGCGAGTGTGTCACGTCCGAGTCGCTGGTGGCGAGGCGTAAATGATCGATTATTATCGATATTGCCCGTTTGAAGCTATGGTAAAGAATCGATCATCAAGATGTTCGTTGGGAACGTCCTTTTTATCGATTCTTTTCCGTCGGTTTAAATGTCAGATCAAATCGCGAAACGTGTAACGCCACTGTCGTTCTCATATCTACAGTAAAACAGAGAAACCCATGTTTCCGTATTATGAGCTTCGAAGACAATGGACCACTAGACAAGGTACGAATTTAAGCGATCTGATACATGTTTCTTAACCAGAATTTCACGTAGAAAACGATTCATACAACGAAAATTACTGAAACCAACTCCTAACGAAGATATTCACGTTTTTATTTCACATTGGTTACGAGGAATTTGAACTGCCCGCTCACAAGAAACTCAAAGCTCTACGTGAATCGAATCGCGCACTACAACGGTTTCAGCAAACTTCTCAATCGAGCAATGTTCATGTCCTATCATGTGTTGTTCAAACTATAAGCAATTTGCTACAGCTAAGCCAAAGCGTCAAGATCGAGGTTGCCAGATTTGTATATTGTAGAGACAGTCATGATAAAGTTTAGCGCGCGATGTGAATCACGTAGAGCATTGAGTTTTCATGAGCGGGTGGTTTGAATTCACGCATTAAGAATCATTAAATATCTTCGTAAGGAGTTGATTTTGGTAATTTTTGTTGTGTGCATCGTGTTTTACGTGAAATTTTGGATAAGAAACATGTATCAATCTGCTGAAATTCGTACTTTGTCTAGTGGTCCATTCCAATTTTGATGGTTTCAGAGGATAATTTTATAAGTGGAAAATTATCATAGTTTCTGTGGCATCATCTCCGCGAGGGAAATATTCCCTCGGGTCATCTTCAAGACAAAAAGAATTCTCATTGTACTTTAACTCCATCATCAGAGAATCACTGTTAAGGTGATTCGACGTCAGCCATTTTTTGTGTCGGAGCGATATATCGCATCAATTCGTTCCATAATTTCAGATACTTGTCACTTTTTTCGAATTTTGAGATCGCACTTCCGTTGTCACGAGACTAAAGAATTCATACACCAAATTTGACAAAGAAATTCAACGTATCAAAAGCAGGGTTTTATTAGAGGAAAAATACCGCATTCGATACTGATATCGAAACTGCACTCGAATGCGATATTTTTCCTCTAAAAAATCCTCCTGAAGCAACGTCTGAAGGCTCATACGGCGTTCTAACCAAACACGGCAGTGTGGCACTAAAAAGAGTTGAATGGCCATACTCTGTCCAAACAGATGCTCCACCTTCGCCTTACCGCCAGCAGTGGCGTGGCGTGAATTGCGATGTATCGATTGTTGTGCCTTTTAAACCTTTAGTAAACAATCGATTATTAAGGTGTTCGCTGCGAACACCCCGTTTATCGATCCTTTCCATAGGTTTAAATGGCATAACGATCGATACATCGCAATTCACACCACGCCACTGACTGCCGACTACGATCCTTTAAGAGGTCCTCGCCTAGGACGATTCAATTCTCAGCGAATCGTGTTCATGGTAATATTTCGACGTCAAGTTCAGGTGGATCCGTGGAGGAGGCTCCTCGGCCAAGTCGACTCAACGAGAATGAACTCCTCCATACCGCGGAACATTAATCCGGGTTGACATGACGCTATCATGTTCGACCAAAGTGGATTACGGTCCGCAGGAAAGAGGGAAAAAAGACGGAGCCTACGCCGTCGTGGAAAAAAAAAGTAACCGAGAAAGAGTCGGAGCAACGCTACGCGGGGGCGGAAGAGAGGGGAGGGGGTGTGGTAGTGCACTTAAATTCTTGCTTCAGAGAGGCGCATTAATCGAAGCGAACGTATTTATGCTAAAAGGAACTATACGCATAGGGTTTGCACGCGACGTAGTTCCTTTTAGCATGAATACGTCCAAATATTTAATGACTATCGCAGGAGCGCAGCGAAATACAATAAGGCTTCGCGGAATCAACAAAACGTGGCGTGTGTACCCCGGTAAGTGAGCTTTTGAAAACCGAGGCGCGGGCGCCAAGGGAGGGAGGGGGGCGACGCCCTCAATGCGCCCCCAGGAGAGGTGCCCCACCCCTATTTTTTTCGATCCGGAGTTTTCGTTGCGGTTTCTCACGAGGGAAGCTTAGCGAGCTTGCGGTGGGCCATATTAATAATTAAGCATTTTCGAAGCACACGTTTCGGATTTGTCGCGGGGATTTGGTGAGGGATCTTAGGGAGTATCCGTAAGCGAGGGTGGATTTTCTGTAACCGGGTGCAAAAGTCATCACGACTGACTGAACGTTGATAAAATTTGGTTAAATTTCTTAAAAATTATAACAGTTTAACGGTAATAGTAAAAGTTTTCAACACGAGAGAGATTTTAGGTGGCTGATTAATTATTAAAATGCGATCTACGCTTAAAACGTTCATTCTCTTTCCGTATAGTTAGCACATAAATCAGCACCCCAGAGCCAGAAGGTAGAACAAGAAAAATACTAAGAAGCACAATTTTTGGTTTTAACCCATTCGTTAATCGATTTTTTAGAGTCAAGTATGTCCAATTTTAAGCGTTTGGTTGCGTGCACAC